GCTAGGCGTCACGAACCAAGTCTTCGTACCTGAAACATGCCCCAGTATTGTAGGGGTGAGTAACATAAAGCTACTCGTAGGAGATGAGCATGCATCAACCTAGCATTTTACAAATTTATCACCTTAAGGTGAAACATGTTAAAGGGGCTCATGCCACCTAACGTCTATGTCCAAGTGAGATTCGGGGAGCATCCTAAGCTACCTTAGAGTCTAAGCAATAAGAATCATGATATACATATGTGTATGAAACGAATCATGGTTGGGATAATCTAAAAAACACGACAAGAAGAATGCTTGAGCATAGATTAACATGAATTACATTTTCAATATAATTGAACTAGGTCTAGAGTAATCCATAAAACATGACAAAAGCATATTTGAATACAAGTTAACAAGAATCACATTATCCATGCAATTCAACAACAAAAGAGCATGTTATACAATGCAACAAGGTTTAAGTTCTCAAAGCTATCAACTTAGAATCTAAAGCACAAAATAATAGTAGTGGTTCATGCCACCTAACGTCTATGTTATAAATGAATCAATAGGATCAATCCTAAGCTTTATTAGAACGTCAAAACACGATTTTCAATATCCATGCAATTTAACCAACATTGGAACTTCCAATACAACGCATAAAGCACAATTTCGCAAAGTTAACATCCTGTAACTTAAAATGGAACAACAAATAAGAAACAACAAGTTACAACATCATCTAGTTATCAACTTGAAAATGAAATGCGAAATCAAACAAAGTGGATACTCGGATGTCACGCCGGATCTGACCGATAACATAGTTACTTTAGGGTTACTAGCCCATGGGTAACCTCCCTATGTGCGCACTAGACTATATATAGAGGGACTATCCCTCGTACTAGAACCACGTCCTAGCCATAGCCAAACAACGACATCCCCAAGTTTCCAAAATCAATAAGTTGTGCAACAACGCATATATCAACAGGAATATGCAAGATAATCAACTATCTACCAAGCACAACCAAATTTGGAAACCTATACAATACATGCTCTAAGTCCACAACTAATATGATGTGATGAATGTCGAATCTTCAATGTGTGATTCGTTACACGCTATGCATGAATGATGTTAAATAAGAAGTGTGCAAATCATTACACAAGGCAACAATATATTTAATAAGAAAAACATATTCTCATGAGTATAAACATAGCAACTATGTTGTCCAATGTTCAAAACATAACCAAATGAATATATAACAAGTCTAAGTCCATGATTTGAATATAGAAACCACTTCTAAAACACAACTAGATCATGGTGTAAATTGATAGAATTTAAATAGATAAACACAATTAAACTCTCTAGATTTCCGATTCAATTTCAATTAACCTCAATTTAATACATGTTAAAGGGCATGGCAAGGTCATCACCTATATCCATTTTAAAACTCAATTAGGTTGTTAGAACAACAAAGTAGAACTTTAATTAAATCATGCTAATTTAAATCCCAAAGTTCTAAAACAACTTCAAATAGTCCCAAATTAATATATACTAGTAAACAAGTCATGACCAATACAAACATCAAGTTAAAACCTTAATTAAGCTAATGGGAACAGAAAATAGATTTTAATTAATTCTTTTAATTAAAATCTCTTAATTTTTAAACTTAACCAAATGCTCTCAATTTAACATATCTTAGAGAATATGCCAAGGACTAATGTAATATCATATTACAAGTTTATTTCATGCAAGTTACACCTATGTAAATTAAACTTTCACTAAAGTTAAATATAAAATAAAGGGTGCAATTCTCATGCAATCAATCCCAATTTAATATATGTGAACAACCACACCAAAGCTTAATTTTCTAGTATGCCACAATACAATTCCAAATTGTATATCACCATGAGGATTAAATCTTAAACATGGAATTTAATTAAATAAAAGGTTTCAAAACCCAACCAAATATTGTAAATCAAATATATATGAAACTATATGGCATGTAAATCAAGAATATCAAGTCGGAATTTAAATAGAGTGCAAAGTGCACTCGAGGGAAATTAATTAATCAAATTAATTAATAATTACTAATTTTCAAAACACCTCCAATTACTTTCAAATTCAACTATGTTGAAGAGCATGCTAAGGCCTAATATAATATGCTGACACATATTAATTTCAAGCTAGCCATGTGAATTAATCTTTCACCTAAAATAAATATTAAATAAAATCTTTAATACTTATTCAAATGTTCCAATTTTAATACACGACAATGAGCATATCAAGAGGCAATATAAAATCATGCTACATGTTTAAACCAAGTCATGGGCAACCGGAAAAATTAGATCCCGTACAAGAAAAATAAATAATAAAATATCTAGATTTTATATTTAATCATGCAAACAAGTAGTATAAGCATCACAAGCATGCTATATAACAAGAATTTAAACCTAGAACATCTCCTACCTCAATTTGAGATGAAAATCTCAAAAGCCATCAAAATGGAACGGCTCCGAATCCGACGAAACTACTAGGTTTTGTCGGGGACAACGCCGTGAACATAACCCCCATCAAAGCCCCATCAAAATCATAACTTGTTCTGAAAATCAAACTCAAGAAATGGTCAAAACTGAATTCTAATAAGGGGGAAAGGTAGAGCACGGCGAGGGGAACAACAAATGTGAAGGCCGAAGACTTTCCATCAAGGAAAAGTGAACCAAAAGAGGAGAGAGAAGATGGCAGCACCCCTTGGGCTGCCATGGGAGCTCCAGGTCGTGCATGAAGAGGGGAGAAGATGAAAAATGAAATATCTCACCCCCTTTTTATAGAAATCTCAAAAAGTGCCCCGAACGGGCCCCGGTGGGTCCGAAAAAGTAAAATTTGAGCAGACGAGCTCAAATGGCAAAACTTTGTGAACGCAAAAGATTCAAAATGATAAAATATGAACAACGGAAGAAATGGCGTCAAAAATTGAGTCCCGACCAAAAAATTATACCCAAAACAAGTTTGGCGAAAACCGGGGCCAGAAACCCTGAAACTGGAAAACATCGACCAGGAGGAAATTCCAAAAGAACACAACTCGACGAAATGTGAAAATGAATCTTGTATGAGGATCCAGGCTCAAAATAAGTCGTTTTGCAATAACTTTCATTAATTGCACAATGGCCCCTCCAAAAAGTGAAAACTGCACTTATGGCCCAGAATGAAAATATCTTCCAAAAATATTTTCTTAAAAACCCCTGAAATAAAATATCTTCAAAGATATTTATGAAAAACACCCCAAGAAAAGAAAATAATTTCAAAGAACTTTGCATCCATGCCCCTATGGACACTAGGAGCAACCAAAGTACTTTCTTGCAAAAGTAAAGATACGTATTTCGTGGAAACCACTCAAGATAAAGGCACGTGAAGTCAAAAACCAACTCCGAGCATGAGAAGTGAGGTTGTGCCAAAAACTGACAAACGGAGATAAGACAGAATAGGGAAAAGGACGAAATAGCGCATAGTATCCAAAAACGAAAAATGTGAAAATGACTCGGTTCTCAAAGGAAGTTGTCACTCCACAGAAAAGAGTCTCAAGAACCAATTTTGAGCACTCGAGATGACACTAAGTGACACGAAACAGAGCTCAGAAAAGAAAATTAAAAGAAAAAAATTCATTCGTAAAATTTCAGGAAAAAGGAAAGGAAGGCAAATGACCAGGTCGTTACAATCAATTCCATAGTCTTGTTGATGCCCTCATTGGCGACGTTCAATCCAATCTTGTTAACAATGTAATTTGGTTTAAAATCAAACCAAATTATTTCATTTCCCTTACTGATCCAAATATTGAGAAAGTTCTTCAAGTCAAACTTCAACTTTCAAACCTCAAGATGGATTTTGATTCTCCAAGTCTAGGAATACAATGGAAAGTTCTTTATGAACTTACTCATGAACCCGAGACTACCACCATTCCTACAATTGACTCAGAACTGGTCACATTGTTCTAACCTCGTCCTTTTGACTTAGTAATTGAACCAAAATTGCTGAAATGGACAGATCTTGAAATTCCTCGTAATTGGTTATTCGAAGATATCAACTCAGAACTAAAATTGCGTATAACTGAGCCTACTGTTACCACTATTCAAGCCTCAGGTTCAATCTTTATATAACTAATAAAGAAAATAAACCACAGCTACAACGATCAGCCTCAGCACGTATATCTAGCAGCTCATCTTCTGGATGGGACAAATTACTTCCTCCATGAGCATCTAATGTCCAAACCTCCGACCTACCACCTCCACGCCGAAGGTTTACTTGGACAGAGAAAGATAAAGCCCCTATAGATGCACCTTTCCTTCCTGGTTCTAATCAATCCATGAAATCTGCACGATTTTTTCACTTTTGACAAGGAAATAATGAAATCCTTATCGCTCATTCTCAAGGAAAAAAATGAAAGTATACCTATGTTAATGGTATCCTTAACTTCAAAGGTTATAAACCATATAGCCTTTGTGTACTCATTGACACTGGAGCAACAACCAGCTGTTGTCGTTACAACGCTATTCCATCTGAAAAATGGCGACAAATGAAACACCCTATTGGTGTACAAGGTATTAATGCTGAAGCACCCATGAATGCCATTCAATTCAAAGCAAAAGATATTGCGATTTGGTTAAATGATAAAAAATTCATCATACCAAAATTGTTCTGTTTTCCCTATATGCATGGTGATTTCATTCTAGGATGTAAGTTTATTTATAGTTATCTTCCTTTACAGTTAAACAAAAAAACAATTTCTTTAACTTTGAAAGACAAAACAATTGTTGAAATTTTAATTTAAGAAAATTTAGCTTCTGTTTGTAATGAAAAATTTTCTCCCCCAAAAAGAGAAAATACTGAACTTTTTGTCTTAAATGAATCTCACTGGTTATACTCTATCTTGAGATAAAATTTCTTTGATAATCCTTTAAATCTATGGCAAAGAAGTCCTTGTTTTTGCAGATTAAAACTCAAATACGATCACGTCATCATTCGTGTAAAACCAATGATCTATCTCAGAAAGGATATAGATGAATTTGATGATCAACTTCACAATCTTCTCGACAAGAAGCTCATTGAAAGAACAAAAAGCCCTCATAGCAGCCCTGCTTTTATGGTACGAAACCATAGTGAGGTTAAACGAGGTAAAGCCCGTATGGTCATCAACTATAAGCAGCTTAATGAACATATAATTTTTGATGGCTATTTTATTCCTCGAAAAGATGTTCTTATTAATCAAACTCGTGGAGCAAAAATCTTCAGCAAGTTTGATAGTAAAGCAGGATTTTGGCAAATAAAATTACGGAAAAAATCTAAGCCATTAACTGCTTTCAGCACACCAAGTGGTCATTATCAGTGGACCGTTATGCCATTTGGTCTCAATACTGCATCTCAGATATATCAAAGATGGATGGACAAGATCTTTAATGACCTTAAAGACTTTGTTGTTATATACATCGATGATATTCTTGTCTTCTCTAAAACAAGAGATGAACACAGAAAACATCTCCAATGTCTTTCAGAAAAACTGAAAAACCATGGAATCATTCTATCTCCAACAAAGATAGATGTTGAACAGGAATCTATAGATTTCCTTGGCCTAGTTTTAACCCACAAAGGTATAAAACTACAGGACCATATTATTATTAAAATCTGTGATTTTCCTGATGTTATTCAAGATAAAAAGCAGCTACAGAGCTTTTTAGGAATCTTAAATTATGGCCGCAACTTTATTAAAGATTTGTCTTAAAAAGAGCTCCCTTTAATAAAGAAGCTACAGAAAGATAATGCTTTTGATTGGACTACTGACGACACCATTATTGTCCAACAAATCAAACACGATTTAGTCCATATCCCTGAAGTTTATTTTCCCCAAAATGGTGATAAACTTATTCTTGAAACAGACGCCTCCGATTTTTGTTGGGGTTGTGTGTTAAAAGCCATTCCATCCGAAAAATAGGATGAGGCTATTTTCACAGATCATCAGATACGAGCACGCAAAACACCTATTCCCAAAAAGCTTCAAAAAGAAGAATTGATTTGTGAGTACAATTCTGGAAAATTTAAACCAAATGAACAGAATTATATTATTTATGAAAAAGAACTTCTGGTAATTAAACCAAAATTGCTGAAATGGATAGATCTTGAAATTCCTCGCAATTGGTTATTCGAAGATATCAACTCAGAACCAAAATTGCGCGAATCAGTGGTTTACATAAACTTCGGGAGCATAATAGTCGTGACACCCAATCAGATGGTTGAGTTTGCATGGGGACCTGCTAATAGCATACAAAAGTTCTTGGCGATCATCCGACCTGATCTCGTCACAGGTGACCCACTAGTTCTGCCACCCGAGTTTTTGACAGAGACTAAAAATAGAGGTATGTTAGCTTGCTGGTGTGACCAAGGACAAGTGTTGAAGCATCCCTCAATTGGAGGGCTTTTGACACACTGTGGGTGGAATTCTACGATTGAAAGCGTGGGTGCAGGAGTGCTGATGAGCTGTTGGCTCTTCATTGCGGATCAGCAAACGAATTGTATGAATATTTGCAGGGAGTAGGGTGTTGGCATTGAGATTGATAGTGATGTGAAGAGAGAGAAGGTGGAGAGGGTAGTGAGAGAGCTAATGGAGGGAGAGAATGGTAAGGAGATGAAGAATGGGGTGATGGAGTTGAAGAAGAGAGCTGAAGAGGCCACTGGTTCTAGCCGAGGCTCTTCTTTCTTGAATTTGGACAACTTGGTAGAGGAAGTGCTTCTGCTTCTGCCCACTGACAAAGTATCCCAGGCTTAAATTTAGCAGATTATGTGCTTGATAAATTTCCATTTAAGTTTCAATTACTATGTGTTATGAAATAAGGATCGAATAAGAATTTATGAGAACAATAAAAAATTAATAACAAGAAAAATAAAATAGGCACACATACAAATGAGACAAGGATTTACGTGATTCGGCTATGTCTACGTCCACAAGGAGAACATAGAACAATATTTCACTATAAAAATAAAGAGATATAAGGTAAAATAGTTCACACCCAAAATCCAAATACACCCAAAATTTCTCACACACAACCTGATATTATAAACTCACTCAACCCGGATGATTTTGGATGATCCCATTGCATGAGATTTATAAGATATATATAGGCAGAAGTGAGGTGACAAATCAGCTTGTTCTCCAAGCACCAAACAGCTATCATACAAAAAAAAAAAATGATTAGCTAGCAACCTAATTGTTGACCACGTAATGTCAGATTCCAAAAGCTTCTTGATGAAGCTGTAATTAATGACCAATTGAAGATGCATGAGAGAGAAAATGATGTCACACTTTTACTGGTGCATGTTTCAATAAAGAGGGGTTGAAGTATTTCATATGAATACCAAATACTTGATCACCATGAAAAGGTAACTGGTGCATGCAAGTTGTCAGATCAAAAAATTTGAGCCACAAATTACTCAACAAATCTCTATCTTGACAAAAATTTTGTATAAATCACTGTATCTCTGCCAAACAACCTGTCTTCTCCACAAAATAAATTAATTAAGAATTTTAGTTAAGTTTGAGTCATCCTCAAACTTAACACTCGAACTCTCATTCTTCAATCCATACATACCTTGCGCAGCCACAAGTATACCTCCAGTATTTCTGTCAAACTCTACATACTTACCAAAAACAACCTTAGAAATTCTAAGTTTGACATCTCCTTTAGCAACCTTCTCCAACCGCCCACAAACCATTGGTTGGTAATGAAAAGTCATCTTCTCACCCTTGTAGAGAATAGGACGTCCCTGACTTTTCCTTGCATCTCTATTATGACGACCATAGATTTTTTAACCAAGTGTGTCCTGTGATGACTCGAAACGGATCCAAAATGCGGAAGCAAAAGAAAAAAAGTGACCTCTAGAGATGTACGTCATCCCTAAGGCACCAAAGTGACTCCACATGAAGCCATGGAACTTAAATGAGCCAAGCAATGAGGTAAGAATGTCAAACCCGAGAAGAATGAACCAAGGGCAAAATGATCATTTCATATTGAAATAGATGTCACTGCACACACCATTGGAAGGACAACAAAAAATGAACAAAATTAGACTCAAGAATTGCCTGATCTGAGTCGGAACGGAAAAGATATGAAATAAAAACAAGGACCTTCTCCGTTTAAGGGTTACCACAACCCTATCTCACTAGAATTGGAATAACTCACACGTTAAGTGGAGGTTTGGTGAATGGTTGGTACCATTGGAAAGCTAACTTCAAGCTTTTGAATTTAGAATCAAGAATTGACAAATTTGGATCAGAGATGAAAGAGTTATGATCCCTCAAATTGGAACAAGAAAGCTGCCAAGGAAAAGATGTCGAAGTTGCCCCTAGGGAGGATCGGTCGACCGAAGGCAAGGGTCAGCCGGCCGAAACACAACCGTCAGTAGGCCAAAACCCAATTATCAGCTGGCTGAAACAAGGTTTTCAACAAAAAGCCTACTGGAATAGAGTCTCGAGAATCGTCAGTCGACCGATGGTGCTCCACCAACCGGCCGACACATCTGCTGCAGTTATAAAAAGCTGCTGCAATGTGTGGAAATGGTACTTGGGCCAATTCTAGGGTTCTACATGCATCCTACATGATCCGAACATGTTTCAAAACATTTCCTAACCCCGTTCAAGCATCTAAAACATGCCAAAACAAGGAGGAACTCTAAATAACACCCCATGGATGATTTTTTCATAAAATTCATAAAATTGCCCAAAAAAATTCAAAAGTTGAAACTTGAGAGTTTTATGCAATGTGGACATGCACGCAAATGTAAAAAGACATTTAAGACGCGTTCCAATGGTCCGCGGCTTCAAAATGTCAAGAATGTAAAATATGACATCTCAACGGCCAAAAATGCCTAAAAATGGAATAAATGAAACCAAAATGCAAAATCTAGAATGAATGGTGTTTGGCCCTTGGCCACACCTCATATGTGATCACAGAGATCCTATGAAAGAAAAAGAATGGAATTCCCACATCCGATGCAAACATGGTGAAGCAATTACTTGACATTTTCTATTATTTCCATAATAAACCTTGAAAATGAAAGTGTATAGAATACAAAATACATGTCGAATACATTGAAGAGAGTGTACTTATGTACACTTTACATATATGGAATCAAAGAATACAAGTTTTGACATATGAGCTACTAATAACATTTCATGCTAACATTTTCATGAAAATGATACTTCAAGTCTATGAAACTTCCATGGCATAGTGTGCATCCCAAATCAAGGTCCCTGTATCTGAAAAAATGTCCCTACTACGTGGGTGAGTAACATAAAGCTACTCGTAGAAGATGAGCATGCATCGACATAGCATTTTACAATTATATCACCTTAAGGTGAAACATGTTAAAGGGGTTCATGCCACCTAACGTCTATGTCAGAGTGAGACTTAGGAGCATCCTAAGCTACTCATGCAATTTAAAGTGAACAACGGCATACAAGTATACATGCTCAAGTATACTAAACAATGTTAAAACATGTTACACAACATACAAGTATACATTTCCAGAGTATACTAAACCATATTAAGACAAGTCACACAATGTCTAAGCATATTACCCAAGTGTACATTTTATATGAAAACCTCGTAAATCAAGTACACGAACACAAGTATACTAAGATAAAAGAGATACGCCTAAAACAAGTATACACGGCACAAGTATACTAAATGAAATTTAAAATCACAGAGCAAGTATACAAGTTCAAGTATACTAAGTAGGAATCAAATATCCAAGGCAAGCATTAATTCTCAAGTTAGAAGTAATTCATGATTAACAACTTGAAATTAAATGCGAAATCAAATAGTGGAAAGACTAGGATCCTTGGCTGCAGACCAATCGAGTTATTCCGGGTTACTAGCCCGCAAGGTACTACCTAGTGCGCACGTGTATAAGTTATTCCGGGTAATTACGACTCACAAGGTACTACCTACTGCGCACTTCATATGACTTAGGAAACTCACGAATCTGTACTAGAGCCAGACCCTAGCCATCACATGAACATGATCCTTACAAGCCTCCAAAAACAATAAGTTTAAAACTTATGCAAAATTAATAAGTTAAACCAAACTTATACATTTCAAATAATGTCTAGGAATCAATTTACATGCATAAGTAAGGTTGAATCTACAGAAACCATGTCTTAGAGTTCAAGTTTACAATGACATTAACAATGTCGAATCTTCAGTGTGCAATTTGTTACACGCTATGACAATTTCATTTCAACATTAGAATGCAATCTCATCCAAACGATCCCTAATTCAATTATGTTAAACAACATGGTATGGTCACTACACAAACCAACTCAAAAACTAAATTGGATCATTGAGACAACAAAATAGAGTTTAATTGAAACATGGTAATTAAATCTCTAGATTTTCTAAAACAACCCCAAATAGCCCCAAATCGATATATACAAGTGAACAAGCCCAAGTCACTACCATTATCATGTCAAAACTCAATCAAACTAGTGGAACCATTAATTAGATTTTAATTAATTCATTTAATTCAAAATCTCTAGATTTATAAACTTATCCAAATACTCTCAATTTAGCATAGGTTAGAGAACCTGTCAAGACCTATTTTAATATCACATTACAAGTTGATTTTATACTTGTTTCAACTATGTAAATTAAACTTTCATAAAAGATAAATATTAAATAAGTTTTGCAATTCTTATTCAAATGCTCCAAATTTAATATATGTTACACAACTCACCAAGGCTTAATTTACTAGCATGCCACAATTTAATTCTAAGCTATATACCATCATTAGAATTAAATCCTAAATAAAGAAAATAAATAAATCAAATTAAAAAAAAACTTGAACAAATCATGCTCACAAGTTGTATATGCTTATAAAACAATCAATATAACAATAATATAAACCTAAGACATTCCTTACCTCAATTTGAGATGAAAATCTCAAAAGCCACCAAAATGAAACCACTCTGTATTCGAAGAAACTTCGGGGTTTTGTCGGGGACAACACGATCTACATGAACCCCCATCAAAATCACAACTTGACTTCAAACCTGAACTCAAGATTTGGCCAAAAAAGGGTTCTAATAAGGGTGAAAGATGCGTGCTATCAAGATAAGCACAAAACGCGAAGGCACTACAACTTTATAACAAAGGGAAGGAGGTTTACTTGAGAGAAGAAGGGTGACAGCCCCCTTTGGGCAGCCATGGGAGCTCCTGGTCGTGCTTGATGAGAGGAGAAGATGGCTTTTTAACCTCCTATTTATAGAAAATCTCAAAAAGTGCCCTAAACGGGCCCCGCCGGGTCCGAAAAAGTGAAATTTGAGCAAACGCTCTCAAACGGCAAAACTTCGTGAACAAAAAAGATTCAAAATGAGAAAATATGAACAACAGAAGAAATGGCATTGAAAACTTAGTCCCGAGCAGAAAGATATGACCCAAACAAGTTCATCGGGAACTAGGTCCAGAAACCCTGAAACTAGAGAAAATGACCAGAAGGAAATTCTATAAGTAAACGACTCGACAAAATATGAAAATGAATCCCGTACAAGGATCCAGGCTCAAAACAAAGTACTTTGCAATAACTTTCATTAATTGCACAATGGCCCCTACAAAAAGGGTTAACTACAAAACTGCCCTAGAATGAAAATATCTTCCAAAAGATATTTTCATAGATACACCTGAAATAAAATATCTTCAAAATATTTTTACGAAAAACACTCCAAGAAAATAAAAAAGATTCTGAAAAACTATGCATCCATGCCCCTATGGA